AACTATCATCAACAGGATTACTACCGCAAACTCATTACCTGATGTAGGGAAAGAGATCTCAAGAACTGAGTCGGAAGATGATAACTGACTTAGTGGCTCATGGATGGTGATCTGCTTAGTTTATCATTGAGTATAACATCGCAAAATCACCCTAATCTTAACTTCCACAAGTAGTCTGTTCCTCCAGAATAGATGTTTCACCCTAAGGCTCTCCCTCACTAGATTTCTCTCCCAGACTTAAGCACTGATTGAGAGATAAGAGAAGGAATCCATCCTCTAGCATCTCTTCTTCAATATTCTGTTCTCCCAGTTGAGATTGTGGAGAAGTGGAGAAATACAATAATATCTCATAAAATGTGACAACCATACTAATATATACCTTCCAGGACTGAGGATGATAACAATTATACCCACTTTGAGCAGTAGAATAGCCAATAAAAACACAACGCAACGCCTTTGGATCCAACTTTTCCTTGGTTCTTTAATAATCATTTACAAAACACACAATCAAACATTTTTGAGGGTATAAAATAAAGAGAAATTGACACTTGAAACAACCCTATGGGAGTGGAAAAGTCAAGAACTCTCAAAGGCATCCAATTGATGAGATATGCAGCAATAAGTACTGCATCTCTACGAAAGGATCGAGGAACACCCATAATAAACACCAAGGAAAGTGTCACTTCAAGGAGATGCGAATCTTCCTCTCTGCTACACCATTCTGCTCAAGTGTATCCACACAATTAGATCAGTAAAGAATTTTACATTCCAAAGGAGAAGCCAAAGACTCCTCATTAAAGTATGCAATCTCATTATCAGTCTTAAAAACCTTAATTTGGGCATCAAACTAAGTACTTACCGGATATGAAAATTTTTGAAACAAATAAACATTTCATCCTTGCTATACAATAAATAAACCCAGATAACTTGAGTGTAGCAAGCAATGAAAGTAACAAACCACTAATATCTAGCAAGGAAACAACACGAGATGGTTCCCACACATTAGAATGAACAATCATGAATGGAACAGTACATCTGTTATTATTACTAGGATAAAAGTCATTGTATCCTTCGTAAATTCATAAACATCACAAAGAAAGATATTTTTGTTAAATTGTTTCACCAAAACCGGGAAAAAAAAATATTCTCTAATATTCCTACTGATGGATGATCAAGTCTTCAATGCTATTAATGTAACTATTTGATGGCCATAAAACCAGAAACCTGAAGTGCCTAACAAGGTTGATTCTCCAGCAAATATAAACCACCATGATCTTTATCACTGTCAATTGTTCTCTTCGTTCCTAGTTTCTAAAAGAAATAATAAGATGAGAAGAATGTTACTAAACAATTTATAGACTTTGTAATGCTATTGACCGAGAGTAAGTTAGCAGAAAAATTAAGGATATGAAGAACTGAAGACAAAGACATAGAAGGGGAACAAAAAGTAGAACCTTTCCCAAATATAGATGATAATGAGTCATCTGCTACCAAAACTTTATCTCTACCGCAACATATAGAATAAGAAAATAAAAGACTTGAGGAACCTGTCATATGGTCAATAGCTCCAAAATCGATCATTCAAAGATTAGGAGAACAATGACATGTATACCTCAGACAGCGGACATCTAAGAACTTGAATCTCATCTGTAGTGAAACTCGTACTATCAATGCCAGTAGATGGAGATAGACCACTAAAAGAGGAGATAGGATCAACCATCTCAGTCAAAGAAGCAAGTGAGCACACAAGACTAGGCATATTACCACCACGCCCCCTTTGAGGGACGACTGTGTAGCTTCCAACAATGGTTTTTGGTGTGTCATATCTTTCTACAATAATCACATTTTAACAGATCATTTTCAAGACTCTAATTTTTTCCATCACCACAAGGCTGAAAATATTTGTTCTCTGTATAGAATAGCTGCTAGAGCAGATCGATCATAGGAAGGATTATGAAGCATGACATAATAACAGTGCCCTTACTCTCCTTCTGGTGCACATAAGCATATGCTTGTCTGAAGGAAAGAAAGGGATATCTTTCCAAATCCTATATTGAAACTTGGCATTATCTCCAACACAATTTACTTGGAAAATCTTTATAATAATTCAGCTCTTGCCATAGACTACTAAATCTTAGATAATACTCTACAATAGTGATATATCCCTTTTCTTGATTTCATGAATCTTCTTTGAGAGCTCATAAATTTGGGCATCATTTCTAACCTGTGAATATGTTAGAGCTGCGGCTGACAAAATTTCACTGGCTATCTCGAGAAATAGAAAACCATGACTTAAATGAGACTGCATTGAGTTGGGTAACCATGTCATGATCAGCAAGTTCTCAAAGATCCATTAACTAAAATCAGGTTCAGATTTGAGTTTTTTACTAGCTCTTGTCAAGTATCCATTTAATCAAATTATTTGCATTGATAATAGGCATGATCTGGTCCATACCAAAGAATTGCTCCCATTAAATTTTACTGGACTAACCTAAAGAGAAATATTCCTACATGACTCAGCCCACCCTTCTCTGTATAGGAAGATTTTGTATCGACTCCCGACATATCTAGTGCAAAAAAGGGCCTTTCTCACAAAGCTCAAACATTGAATAGCAATTTTGGGACTCACCCAGCACAAAAAAGGCAAAACCAGCAACTGTTGCTACAACAGTAAAATCAGTAGTTGGCAATGCCGAAACAAGAACCAACCGACAACCTACGACACCAGAAACTCCTCACATAAGCAAAGAATTCATCACAACTATCTGTGAAAACTCAGTCAAACCGGTAACTAACAAAACAGCACTGCCAAAGTCACACAGAGCCAAGCCAAGAGCCAAAATAACCCAAAAACCACTAGCCTTTCCACAGAACTCCACCAGATTTCCTATAGGCTCTAGTCGACACCCACAAATAGTATTAGAGTGGGTAGAATGGTCTCAATCCCAACCAAACAGTAGATTGCAAAATATGACCCATAAAATCTGAAAATCACTCAAAAAAAATAAAACATACCGGATGGCTTCAAAAAATTTTAGAAAAATCACCATAATACTCAAAAGAGAAAAACGGTCTGGACCATGTTGAGTTTGGTCAGTTCCCGTGACAAGAACATCTTTCCGGCGATGACGTCAACAACTTTAGCAATTTTCCAAAGCTTCATATGAGTGTTCCTATGACCTCAAAATTCCAATAGAATGCGCTAATACCTAGTTGAAATCTCAAGATGTTATGTTTTATGATTTAGAGTGAATATGAGACAAGAGAAGAAAGGAGAAGGGAAGATGGAAGAAAAACGATTCAAATTAGGGTTAAGGAAAATGGGAGTTAACCTTTCTCTCATCTCATCACCCATATTTATATTAACTCATAATAATATTAAAATTACAATAACACCGTTAATTAAAATAACCTGACATTCTACAGATATATTACACATGATCACTTATAGTATTGAGAAGAAGAAATGGAAGGAGACTCTGGCAAGGAGATCCCCTCTCACTTATATTACACAATAAACGGATTACCAATCAGACTTTTGGTAGTATTATTGGACCATCTTTTTGTAATGAGTCTAATGACATCATGAAATGTTACCAAAAATAGAAAGTGCCAGCTGAATCCAAAAAGGCTCTGATTACACTTGATCCTGAGGTAGATAACCCAGAGAACATCACACAGTTCCAACCGATGAATTTATGTAAGGTATTATATGGCACACTTTCAAAAATAGTTGTCAGTGGAAGGAGACCATTCTTGGATAAAACCATTTGGACCAAATCAAGACAAGACAGATTGACAAATCATTGTAACTCAGGAAATTCTCCATACACCAGGAAACAGTAAAAGCAAGGTTGGCAGCTTGATGATAAAAATTGATCTCAGAAAAGCTTATGACATACTTGACTGGCAGTTTCTGAAACAAACACTTGCCGGTTTTTCCTTGAATGGGTAAATATCAATGGATTGTATAAATGGTGCTGCCCTACCCTACCCTACCCTCCCCAACCTAAAAGCCGGGAGGGGACTCTGGCAAGGAAGATGCCCTCTCACTTTATTTCTCTGTGCTTTGTGCGGAAATATTATTACACATGATCACTTATAGTATTGAGAATAAGAAATGGAAAGGTCTAAAGGCGTCCACAAATGGACCTATAATTAGCCATCTCTTCTATGCAGATGATCTTATTATTTTCCCAAAACATGGAGAGAGGGAGGATCCAGACAACACACTGAGAAGAATGGAGATTTTAGTGCCAAATCAGGACAAAGAATTAACTGCTCTAAGTCTAGGTATAATGGCCTTTAGAGGCTCTACTGATCTTATATGGGACTCCTAGGTATCTTCCTGATCCCTGGTATGCGGAATCCCACACCTAAAGCTTATAGATTTGGCAATTTTGTGAAGTAGATCAGGTGAATCCTTGTTAGAAAGCCAAAATTTCGTCCTTGTCAGGAAGAACCACACTAGTCCAATGAATTATTGCAGTCAAACCTCATTATATTTTGCAGACGAACTGCCTCGCGTCCATCTGCATTCTGCAATACTATGCACATTGACCACAGACTTCAAGGATGATGTTAAAACCACCATCGTATCTAAAAACTAAAGCAGTTAGAAAGAGCATAACATAAGTATATCTATATTTCCACCTGCCCCCTCAAGCGCTGGCCAGATTTTGGGCTAAACACTTGAAAATCTTATTTTATCATGGTAACAGCTTGATTCAAACATAAGAACTCATACTCTGATACTTGATAAACCACCAACTCATCTAAAAATTTAAACTATAAATATTTTATATACCAAAACGAATGCACCTTGCTGACAAAGCTACACTTATGCTATCAGAGACTGCCCAAAAGCAAAGAGAATATGGGCAGTAGACAGCAGAGAAATGGAAGGAAATCCCAGCCACGCACCCCATGCATCTCATAGAGCCCTGCTCCAAGTAGTGGAACTTCCAAGTTCTATTTTTCTCACAGAAGCCACTATATAAATGAGCGTACCTCTAGAGGTGATTCTCAGAAATCTTGAAGTGCCTATATCCACAAGTCTTACACAAACGCAAAGCCACAAGAAGTAGACATCCAAAAGGCCACCACCCGCTCCCCCATATTCTCCATATACACTTGTGTCCCCACGATCAAGGACCCAAGGTTTGAGGCAACACCAAAGTATCTAAAAATAGTCTTAGATTTTTTTTTTCTCCTCAGGATCATCTTCATCAAATTGGCCTGCACCAAATGTGGGGGTACGTGCGGGCTCTATACCAAAGAAACCTCCAACCCCTGCAATCCCTCAAAACCCTTGCTGATTCAACCCACTCCAGCAGTGATTCCCAAAACCTTGACTCTCTTGGACCCTCACTCCCCTCCACCTGGGGTGAAGTCAGCAACCTTCCACTTTCTACAGTCCACCCCGCCATCGAATCTCTCATCCTCTCCCTCCCTACTCCTTCCCCTTTGGCCACAAGTTCTCCTTCTCCGTTCCCTCCTTTTCATCCAACCAATTCTAGGTTTGTAAACCCAATTGCATCATCTACAAAGACAAATCGTCTCTCTGCCATTAGGCTAGCGTCTCCACCTTTTGTAAAACCACCATCACCACCCGCATTCTCCAGCTCATCCACCAATTCTGCCTCAAAAACATCCATCTCACCAAATGTTACCTCTTTTGGTTGAATTGAATTGAAATTTTAGTTGATGGGTTTCCTTCAGCACAGTCAATGAAGACGAAGATTTTTGTAAAACAGGAGAATCAAACTCTAAGCATGTTGATTTCCTCAATTCCTTTTCTAATCCAATTAATGTGTTCAATGTCTTTGGGTGGTCGATTCATTGATGAGTATGTGGATTGTTTGGTGTTGCATGAAGTTAGGGATGCTTTATTTGCCGATATAAAAGAGATGGGAACAAAGGACAACAGTTAAACAATGAGATAGTTATATGAGGTTAGGAATGCTTTGGAAATTCTGAGAGAAATTCAAATATGGTTTATCTCTGCAATCATACACTTATTAGCATTTCAATTTTGATTTTGACTAAACATTGTATACATCTTTTGTTGTTTACATCCACCAACATTACATATTAATGCCTGGGTGGCAGAGTTCCAATCCCACCAAGTATCACTTAAAGACATAATAAAGATGCATTGGGTGTCAATATATAACGATACAAGTTATTTCAACTAATACATTAGAAATATGTGAAAGAAGGAAGAAAGATGTGTGTATATATATATTAATTATATATTAGCAATAACCCGTACTTGAAGATACACGGTAATACCAAACATTAAGCGTTGATCGTGCAGTATTTATATTTTGAATAGCAATCTATTTTTTCCCTTTTTTTAATTATGCAATTTAAAATTAAAGTGAGCAAAGAGAAAATAAGAGAGAGGTAGGGGTGAGACAAGAGAGACATAGGTGTGGTCCATGTGGATTAGTGAGGTTGTGTAGTATTGGGAAGTGTTTTGGTTCAGTTGATGTTTTTGAGCAGACAAATATTTTCAATGAATTTTATACCATTTGATTAAAAATAAAAATTGAATCAATTTTGATTGTTGTTGTGCTTTTATAAATTATATATATAGAGAGAGAGAGAGAAAGAGAGAGAGAAAACATAATAGCCAACAAAACATTAATCATAACATATTTATAATTAGATATTCCATGCGCAACTTAGAACATAGCTCATGAAATACAATGTGCAATCCCAATTTTCAAATGAAAATGCATCAATAGAGGAACTAGATATATATAGTGAAACCTAAATAGTTGGAATAAAGCTTTTTTCAGTTGGGTAGAAATGAGATGCATGAATTTCAGAATTATAGAAGTTTTTAAGAATGAAGCATATTTGTATGATTTAAACTAATTCAGTGTAGCTAGGCTTCACAAGCTCGACAAATAACCCATACAAACATATTGATATAACTAAAATCTACAGGCATTGTTAACCAATTCCATTCAGCAATAAGACAATATCTGCCCGACCATACAAAACACATACGTTCACACACGCGGCCTTTTGTCGTGCAAAGTACAATACTAAATGCACAATACAATAAATTCTCTCTCCGGTAAGACATCAGCTAAAATGCAACTGACCTGTAAGAGTTGGTTCAGTATAAGCGGCCCCACAAACTGGGAAAGATCATTAAAAATCTACAAGATTGCAATAAAGAATGTGGATATATTAGTGAAATTGCAATTGACCTGTAAAAGTTGGTTCAGTATCTGCAGACCTACAAATGGAGAAAGATCATAACAAATCTACAATTCACCACTAGAACAGACAGGTCAAGAAAATCAATTGAAATATCAAATGTACTAGTGGGAGTTTTAGCAGTGGGAATGTAAGCAAGTAAATACTAACTGCAGTTTAGATATTCAATTTACGAAAGATTTTCACATAATCTGGAAGAACAGAGGACATCAAAATTTCTGAATGTAAAATGTCTGAAAATGAAGATTCTACTGGTACTGATTCCCCCAAACAAAGATTCCACCAGGTGTAAAATATCAATTTAAGCGTACAAAGCCCCAAAATAGTTAAGAGGAAGACAGATTATGGAAGTATTCAATAACTAGATGGCAAGAGTGATGCGTATGTATGTTAGAACAGATATTTACATGTGTCAAATGTAGTATATTACCATACTAATCAAAGTGCTCAGATAAGTAGTGGCACAAACCTTTGTACGAAATGCCACTACGAGGCCCATCTAGCAGAACCAAGGTTAAAATGTACCGCAACAATGCAACATGTATTGTTTTCAAAACTAATGTATCAAGTGTGTATTGCAAGATATGCCTAATGTTAAAAAATAGGCTGGAAAATATATATACCTAGAAGCATATATAAATATAGCATCCAAAATAATATAAGATAATTTCAACCCACTTATCATTTCGTGCGATATAAATCAAAAGGGGGACATTCTCTTCGCAACAGAGATCAAAATATAGATAGGGTTTAGTCTATTTGAAGAAGAAGAACAAAATGGAGGAGAAGTGGGAAAGGATTGCAGGAGAATAAGAATACAATTGCAGGTTTTCACTGTTTGAGAGCGAACCAAAAGAAAAAATAAACTTTGGAAACAAAGTCGAAACATTGTTTAGGGGAAAAAATTCTTGCAAAATGACATCCATTCAATGTTTAGAGTAAAAAAAACTAAAAACTGTTTTCCATTGTATCGAAATATATCGTACAATCTATCATGTATCAAAAGATAGAGAAAAAATGATACAACTTAGCGACCTGCAACATTGTTCACTATATCAAATCATATCGTACAATGCGTATTACGAATCGCACAATACAAACAACATTGGGCAGAAGCCTACACCTATACACTCATTAGTGCTGCCTTGGGACACTAAGTCATAGTAATGCAATATCATCTCTTCCTAAAATTCGATGTACCATTCCACCTACAACTGATGTTCAGTTTCTGCATGCCAAACACAAGTTTTCGGGCGCACAATGGCAAAAATAAAAGCCAAAATTTAGAGGAAATTCCAAATTGTGGGCCACAATATTAGTTAGAAAGTCTGCCAGGTAAAAACATACTGAGGTGACCCATGGAACTATACCATAGAGCCAACACTAAACAACTCCCGCGAGTTCATTACAATTGGTTCTAATTGTAAAACTTCTGTCACCCAGCAATTTCCCATAAGATCACATGACTAGTTCTAACTAGGTCAAAATGGAACACTGCTTAAATATGTTCACTACCTTCCAGAAGCCTCCCCACCAAAATCTGCAAAAACCAAAAAGATACAAGGTTATAAAATGGGCCTTGCAGATATTTAATAACATCGAATTACATGTGTCCATAGACACAACAAATATGTCAGAAAATTCTTAGTGATATATCACTCTCTTTACCTTCCTCCAAGACTACTATTTAATGCTCTTAAAAGCCACGGTTTAGGCTTACGAGACTCCTCGGCCCAACATCTTTGGAACCTACAGAGTTCAATTAAAAGTGTTAACTCTCTGATGAGTGACCTTGTGTAGAAATGTATATAAAGTGGTAAAGCACACACTTGCTGTTCAATGTTTCAGTCCGATCCCACGTATCCAGTTTCCAGACATCCTTATCCGTGAGGGGTCGTTTGTAGCCTAGTTGCATTAGGGGATTCATCCAAGCAAAAGAAATTTCTACAGAAGCAACAAGGAACAAAAAAAAAAGGTGAATTAAAATATTTCACAAGCAAAGGAATACATTGCTACTGTTCAAAGAATACTATGGGTGGCCTCAGCACAAATTCTACATTTGTTGCTTCTCAAATAGAAGTTAAATTGAATAAAAAAGGCTCAAATGATCTTAGCTGCATAATAAACCATACTTAGATTGTTTAGTAAATGGAACGTGAAAGTGAACTCGAAAGTGGCAAACCCTAGCACAGCTGATATTTTTCAGACGTTTCTCTTCCCAGGGAACATTCAGTAACATCTACTCAAGGGACTAAGCCATTCAGAATTATGGAATAGTAGCATTGAGCACACATAAACAGAGATTACGTACGAGCAAATATGCTGAATTGCCTCTCAGGACAAATTTGCTCTCCTCCAGAAAGTTCTTCATATTCAGTACAGTCAGTAGATTCGGTCAACAATGGAGAGTAACCAGGATATGGATTCAAACTGGGAACATGCGCAAGCAGGAGTACTCCAAATAAAGCCTGCATCAGAACAGTAACTATACATTACAATTGGTTACTGTGATCAATTTATAACCCAGGGATTGGACCTCACCCACTACTACTGGTCATTTTCATCTTGTCCTATCTCCTGGAGTGTGTATACAGCAAAGAGTTGGACATCTTAGCATGGAAATGGAAAATTAGTTCGATGGTGACCTCTAGCAGTCATGGTGATGGGAATTAGATTGCCTTTTGTTATAATAGATGTGGAAGTAGAGATTAGAACTTATTTGTCATTTTTACTTTCGGGGACATATTTGCCGTTCGGATTATTTATTTGAGTTAGGGTTTTGTACTCCCCATATATAGGGTACTTGTTTTACGCAGACTTTGATCACTTGAACTATTGAATATTGATTCTTCTGCCTAAATTGTGCTTCTTTCCTCTAATTCTTCTCTTCTTCTTAATCTTCCCTTCATTGCCAAAATTCCCCTTTTTGGTCTACAACAAATTGGTATTAGAATTAATTTAATCTACAACACATGGCCACACTAATCGGCTAGCAGACACAAAATAAGTCAAATTTAGAGTAGAAACATGAACTAGGGAAGATAGATTTAGAGGCTCACTATGCTATTACAGTGCAGGTCCCACAAGAAGTTCAAAACTGGGTTGGGGCTGTTTAACTTAGTGTTTTATTTGTGTTACTACAACATAACTAATGATTATGGTGAGAACAGTATCTTTTAGATTCAATGGTTTTTTAAAAAAATTATTTGGAGTGAGCTGGTAGATACAAAACCCATAAAAAAAACCTCCTGACAGTTTGAGGAGTCATTTAGTAACCTCAGCTGGGGCCTGGCAACCGGAGATAACACTTCTAATGGAATAATTTTGTTGACCGGCCTGGGACAAGTGAGTATCCATTTGCATTCAGACTAGGTACACATGATGGCATGTTCTAATGACTGGCAGTAGACATTACTAGGATAAAAAGATAAAAAGGACCACCAACCTGGATGAAGACCTCACTTATATACAAATACAGTATAGATCTGCATGAATAAAATACAAGCATGAATTAGTATTGTGCAACCTTATATTAAACAGATATGCAACAATTTCTACTCTAGAACCCAAGTTCTGAATTTGCATGCATCCAATTATATGATAGTAAAACTAAGGAAATCTCGACACTCTTGAACCAGTAGTTGACTTGATAAGGATAAAATTCAAAGTTTTCTTGAAGAACAGAGAAAACTAAAGAAAAGCAAAAATGTCACCAAGGACATCAGAAAATAAGAAAACAACAATTTATGTGATTACACCTGTAGTAAGCTTGACTTATCAATCACAAACACGTCATATGATTGTCGTTGCCAAACTAGTACATCCAAATGCATTATCTGCTCATCATTACCAGCACTTGAGATACCGCAACATTGTATTATCAGAAAAAATGTTACCTATCCAATATGGATAACTAGGATTGATAATCATTTTATTTGCTCTAGATAAAGTTGAAATTTCCAGCATTTGAATGAATACAAAACAGAAGAGATGGGTAGAAGCAATCAGATTCTTGTTAAAGAATAAATCAACAATGTTTCTTTACTTTTTTTTTGTTCTATGTTTTGTTTTCATAGATAGTAACCTCTGATCCCTGCGACCTAAAGGAAATTCAATCCAAATGTTTTGATATACTCAGCAAAATCCAGTCTAAATTTCAATCAGGTGGTAAGTAGATGATAAACAGATTGAAAAGACAGAGACTGAAAGAAAGGGAAGTCAACAGACTACACATATGCTGTCACCTCCACTATAATTAGGACATGAGAATAGATTTCTGTCTCACACATTATATTAGTATGAGAGACTAAGTAGAATGTCTTGATGCCCAGTCTAGCAAATTCTTTTATGCCAATATCTTGCCTTTGCTATAACCAAAGTATTTTTTTTAATAAGAAACAATAACTTTCATTAAAAGTAGAACAAGTTACAATTAGGTGGACATGATATCCAACCAATTTACAAAAAGGATCCAGCAAGAAAACTATTACAAAACTTCATCAAAATCAACCTCTTCCCAATTATGATGGATCACCACAAAGGGAATGTCTCGGAAATCCTTCGATACCGCATGCCACAGAGAAACCACCAACGTTACTCCCTCCCATAAAGGTCAACTTTATCTTCAAAGATGCTACTATTTCTTTCCATCTGCACTAAAAAAATTATTGCCATTCTAGGTTGAAGCCCTTTGACTTTTTCCCAAATCCCACAAGTAAGGAAACACAATCACGTTGGGTAGGTAAAACTAAATCTGCCTCCCTCGAAGCATTATGCCACAAAGATAACATTATGGGGAAATAAAGAAATAAAATAAATGGTCAATTCTTTTGCAACTCCTAGACATAACACAATTTTCAGAAGAAAGACAAGAATGAGACATTTTCCCTTGCAACAAGTCAAGAGTATTAACCTTCCCATTGGCAACAATCCAAACAAGCATACTTTTATGGACACTTTTGTCTTCCAAATCACCTTATTTGGTTTCAAACATAGAAGAGGAAGTACCATCAATTGGCCATTGAAGTAAGAATGACAAGTGAGAAGCTCAGAAGATTCAAGAGACCATAACCTTTAATCAGAAACCCAAGGAAATAACGAAGTTCAAACTTCAACCCCCAAATGTTCCTCTGTCAAGCCATATGTAGTTCATTACTTATACCACCTTTCTGATAATGTCATATTATAAAATTCCCCCTACAGCTCTTTCCTTATTATGGAAAATAATTGTAACAAGGTATGCAGAGCCATTTCACATTTCACAACTAAAGGTACATTGTTTCAAATCCTATATTTTCTTTCATGTTGTAATGGTATGTCTTCTAATAATTGAGCACTTTCAAAGCAAAGATGCAAATACGACTGCCAGCAATAAAGAAAACTAAGAGGTGAGTTAGAGTAGTGCTAGATAACAATATTTATGTGGGATATTTGGATGGCAGGATATAGAGGGATAATCATGAGTTGGATTGGAGAAAAAGGATGTGGGCCCCATATATCCCACATTTAGGATGAAAAACAGGGATGGGCCCATTCGAGTTTATCCCCGGTTGGAACAATGCCCCTCAACCTCCTTAGATAGGTTAACTCTAACCCACGTTGGGGGTGGGTTAAAAAGCCAATTGATGGGATTCATTGCGTAATTACCCTAATACCCCTTTTTATATTTTAACCTTATCACTTCCCCACTTCTTCAATTCAACGGCTGGATGTATTCTGTCAACAACCACAGCCACTGGCGTTGCCCTTGCACTCGACGTCAACAGCTTCTGAGGATGCATATTTATACCACAAGGCCGATAGATCGACAAGCGATCACAACTCTCTTGCGATTTTGTCGCTGTACTCGCCCCCTATCGCACAATCCGCTTAAGGCCATTTCGTCTCCACAAAAGCTGAAGCTGAGAAACACCCTACCCCTTTCAATTTTTATTTGTTTTTTCAATTTTTCATATTATATAAATGATCTGGTAACTGGTTTTATAGTATACTAAAATTACTGTTAAGATGTATAAATAGGAAGACTAATTGGGTATAATTATAGATGCAATCTGGGAATGGAGTATATGATTGAACTTGTTAAACCTCTACACTGAATGCCTAATCTGGGAATGGAGTATATGATTGAACTTGTTAAACCTATACACTGAATGCCTCTTGTTTTGACACAGGATTTTTTTTTTCTGGTACTGTTTGATGCAAGACCAAATTGGAGTGTTTGATTTTGTTTCTTGTGTTATTTATCTAAGAAGACAGCTTTCAGATCTATTCTTTCAATGTAATTTAGTCTATTTATATGTATAAATTTGCTGGTTGTTCAATTTCTGTATAGTGTACCGCTTTGCATATTTGTATTATTTTAGAAATTTCTGAACTTTTTCAACAAGAGAATTTGACTTTGGCTGCAACCAAGGCTCATTGGCCTGGATCTCACACACAGCCTTCCAACCCTCATCGACTTGATACAGTGGATCTCTCTCTCTCTCTCTCTCTCTCTCTCTCTCTCTCTGTGTGTGGGTAGAATGGTAAAATTATACAAAAGCAATTGTCTAAGTCATGGGTCCCACGAAATTACAAAATTGTTAGCCAAACAATGGGTTGAACAGGATATAAAATGTATCCCATTCAATTTAAGTGGCTGAGTGAGTTTGGGTTGGATTGGGTAAGATATTAAAATAAAATCCTATCCTATCCAAACACACTCATGGTGTATTATTATTTTAATGGGTGGCAACAGCAACATTACAAATGGCACACAATAAATCTTATTATGATGTGTAACAAATATATTAAATAATTTCAGGAAATATAGATCAAGAAATCTATAGAATAACTAACCGATTGTAAAAATCCTGTGCTGCAAGTGCGAGATTGAGCATCACAGCATCCCCTACCAACACAAATAAGACTCCAAACCTAACAAACCACCGAAAGTTATGGATGTAGACCTTTGTTTCTACTCCAATCATAACCAGCATAGAGCACCAAGTAAGAGCCTGATCAATCAGGGCAACTATCTGCAGGAGGTACAGAAGAGCTTAATTAAGAATCTGTAATTACATGTTTCATCAGCTTACCATAGAAGGTAGTCCAAAGAATGAAGCAATACAAAATCCATAAGAAGATAATCCCCAAGTCCAACTAATATCAAAGGAGTTAAGGGCGGCCTCAAAGTGTCCAAGATCCAAGTCAATAAATCTCTAGGCTTATATGGTTCAACTCCTAGAGAGATGGATTGCAAGATCTACCATCCCAGAAATGAAGCTATAGTGTGTGTCACAAAACCAACAAATGGCAAAAAGAAAATGAAAGAAAGAAAATTGTTACAAAATTCAACCTTAAACAATTAACTACCAGATAGGTGGAAAGTTTAAAAGCAATATTCATCCGGTTTGAGTTTCACTTTTCTTCATTATTTTTACAGACTTAGAACCATAGATAATTCAAAAATCAGATCATATGATTGAAATAACGCTATAAAATTGTATATCAACTCCACAGGATCCATCAACCTGTTCATTACTCCTGATTGTGATGAAAACAGAGTGAGAGAAGGAAGAATGTGATAAATGGACCCCCCCCCAACAGAAAAAATGGCAGCACAACTCAATAAATCAGTTAAAGTTGAACCTTCCAGATACTAGCTATATAATTTTGTGTTGGACATAGAGATAAATTAGGAATGTAAAATAATAAGCCACAAAAAGGGCATACACACACAACTGTATTATTCGAACAGAGACGCACCTCATATGGAGCAAGACCAGTCTGTCCATCTAGATTCAAAGCTGAAATACCCATGACCAATCTGAACAAAGGTTCTGCAGTACAATAAGCAGCCAAAAAAGCCAGCACATAATTGTAGTAATTTGACCTCAAACAGAACCTCTTGACTTTATAGTCTTTCTTTATCCGCCATATTCGATATAAGCACAAACCCAGAAGAACTAAATGAGAAACACAAATCACAAGCGTGTCAGTTACACACGGGGTATAAGCCCCAAATGCATTTTCCACTGCTTTTGCCCAGACCCCATTCTTCACTGGCTTACAATACCATTCCAGAGGCCCAAAAGCCATCTTTACACACTTTTTCACCAGTACTACTCTCTACAAGCACATTACACTTTGGTGTCTCTGCTCTCTTCTAATGGATGAACTTGTGGTTCGCTACTAAGCAGCACAATAGTCCTGCAAAAACATAAACCAATTTCATGTATACTCACTGGCAATATTTTAAGTCAATGACAAGAATCTCATGATTGGAGGAGTTCATGCAATTGATAGAAAATCAATCATAAGTAGAGTAATTTCCTTCATCATTATATTTGATAGCGTATTTGGTGTATTCCTTCACCCATCTAAAGGTGATGATTGGCAATCAAAAATTATAAACTATACGAAAAGATGTAGCCCTTTGGGCTTTGCGAGCCATGCCTGTAGGCCTAATGGCCAAATCATGAACTTCTTGTCTTCTTGCCCTGCTCTCTTCTCCCTAACTTTATCTTTCTTTACTATTTTAGTTTCTAAAATACATAATATTCAACCTTTCTGATTGTGTACAGCAAAATATTTGCACCAAACTTCCACTTACAAGAAAGAGAAAATTGGGCTTCTTAGTTTCTTATATAATTGCAGCCTCAAGGTTCTCTTTATTGCAATGATAATTACTAAGTTCATTGTTTGGTTTCTAGAAAAGGCTATTCCGTTCTTGCCACGACAATCAGAAACACTAGTGAAGAACACAGTGCAAGACGCCAAACATAAGTCAAGTCCCTGTTTGAGAAAAATAGAAGTTCAGTAAAACTCATTCTTTTTCTCTCACTCAGTCTCCATCATATGAACTTCATTTTTGCCAAGTAAACCAATCAAATTACACACCCAACTCCACAAATCCATACTGAAGCCATTGATTGCTATATCAGATCCTAAACAACAAAAAGAAAATATTCCTTTTCTCACCATTTCTCAGCAGCCAAACACAAAGCTACAAAGAAAAAAAGATTTCCCGACTAAATCTCCCAAACAGAACTAAAATGCAGAAAAGATTCATCATTACCATAACGTAACTGTACAAACTCTATCCTTTATACTATAAAAAGTATCTAAAACAGGAAGATCAATAAAGCAATACCTCTAAAAGATGAATCAAAACAAAAAGACTTTGTCTCCTCAAACGAGAATGCGGTGAAAATTTTCAGGGAAAAAATGAGAGAGATTCCTGCGGAAAAGTTGTGGGTCGAGAGAGAGAGTGGGAGAGAATCTGCACCTTATTCTGTGCCTTTTTAGCTTTTGGCAAGCAAATAATTTTTGGTTCTGCATAGTGATTGACGTCAAATCGAAAAAAAAAATTTTTTTTTTTTTTTTTTTGGCCGAATGATTTTAGAAAATTGATGATATAATAATTGGGTAGACACCTGCGATCCGTCACGGCTTACGACACATTTAATATGGATTTTTAAAATAAAAAACAAATAATTAGATATTTATAAAAGGGCGCCCTCAAGATTTTAGAATTTTTAATTTATACCTTCAAAATATAAATTTTCTGCATAACACCCTCAATTTATTAAAAACAGGGTAAACTGTACTTTTATACCCCAAAAGATTTAAGAATTCTTACTTCATACCCCTCAAAGATTAATTTTTTAGATTACATCCTCAATGTATTAAAAATGTTGCAATCTGATCATTTCGTCAGCTTCCATTGCTCATTCCGTCTACGACAATGAGATAATTTTTGACAAAAATAAGTAACAAGAGTTAAAGAAATACTCACATTGCAATATTTTTAATAAATTGAAAGTGTAATATGAAAAATTTAGTCATTGAGAAAGCAATGAGAAATCTTCATTCTTATATGCTTCGTTTGGTACAATGAAAAAATTAGAGGATAGAAAGTTGAAAGGATAAATAAAACATCATGTTTGGTAAGAAAGGAAAGTAGAAAGGATGAAAAAGTGAATAAATTTACTTTCTTTCCAACTCATCAAAATCAATCTCTCCAAAATCGGAAAAAAAGTGGATGAAAGATTAATTATTTGTGTTAAAATTTTTATCTTATTGGTGTGGGTGTGGGTGTGGGTGTGGGTGTGTGTGTATATATATATATATTAAAAAATTTTAAAAATAAATTAAAAAAATAAAATTTTTAAATTAAAAAAAATAATTTTTCTATCTTAACTAAAGGTGAAAATTTTCGACTTAATACGATGACATGACTCGAACTTGATACGAAAATAAACAAGTCAACTCGCAACTTGACACGACACAATTAGTTAAATGAATTAAGTTAGGTTTGACTAATATTCGATACAAGCCCATAATGAATCAACATGAATCTGATATGACACGATTCGATTGTCACCTCTAATCTTAGTCTGCACAAAAAAAGAAAAAACAATAGTCATTTTTACTTTTCATTCATCTAATCAACACAAAAGAAGAAAAGTGTATATTTCATACTTTTTATCCTCCCTACCAAACAGAGCATTAAAGTATAAAGTGTGGTTCTTATAATGTGATTCTTCTGTGAGTTTCTGTTGCGGTGATTTTTGACAATATGAGTAATAAAATTTTTTATACATCATTAATGACGTGATATGACTATTACATAGCAAATTAGATCGTGAGAGTAGATAACTCTCCCCACAACTCAGATACACACAAGTTTAATTTAAAAACTATAAATTATTATTTATTGTAATATTTTACTATTCGACACAAGCAAGCAAACACAGTAATATGAATTTAGTTTGAAACAGGGCGAAGTTAGGGGTGACCTATAATGGGGTTAATCAATAATTTGAGGAGAACAACCACACAACAATTAAAAAAAAATTGCAAATCCAGATTAATTTTCACATAACAATCACATAAAATTCATATCAATTTTCAAGATATCCAAATTCGATTTAAATTTATTTTAATTTGATATGAATATTCAACTAATTAACTGTTAATATCCAAATAAAGTAAATATTAAATATTCAAGCAGATACGTGAGTTATTTAGAGTTAAATTTTATTAAATTACATTTTAGTTTTGATTCGATTGTATAAAATAATACTCAATTTCATCATATATCCACATATATGAATGTAATAAATCAGATGATATCATAGTCAAATTAGAGTTTAGTATATCAAATTTTAAATTGGTGAAATAGGACATAATTGATTTGAAACTTAGATAATCGGTCAAAGGTATTAGTTCATATCTAACTAATATCAAATACCCAATATCTTAAGGGGACTAAAGTTTAAATTTATAAAATAATACCATTTGATTTTTAAAATATGAAACTATACCCAAATTTTTTTACAAAATTCCAAAAAGACTCCAAAAATTTTGAAAATTTCAACCATTGCCCCCGCCTCGTATTTGCCCCCCGGTTTTGAAATAACCCATAATTTTGAACGTTCTTAGTTCGACTGTCACAATCGTCCCACGAGTTTGGTGACTTATTGAATTTTTTTAAGTCTTCGCTGGTTCTTAATATGTTAGAGTAAATGGTTAGTGTTTGATAAAAAAAAAAATTTGTGCAAGTGTGTCAACATAAGAAAGTTCATGGTCACAAAGGAGAAATCTGTCACTATATCACCATGCCGCTTTCATTGTTTATTTTTTATATCTTTTGCTTTTATAATGTGCTTATGGGTTGGTGATCCATTCCAATTTTTTAATCTCTGTGTAGGTCATGGATGAGCAAAGCCACTCTAGTAAATTTCCAATTAGAGAAAATGTATCCAAGTATTTAAACAGCTATACAAAAATATTTTTCTTTTTTGTGAGTTAAAAAAATTATTTTGTAGAATTAATTGAACTAGAGGTCTTTAAAGTATGAAATTTGTCTCATTTTTGTTCCCAATATTTAAATTGTATCATTTTTGTGCCTAAATTATTAAATATATTGTTATATAGTCCCCGATTTTTTATAATAAACTTATCATGTGATACATAAATATGGATAAAAAATAATGTTTGTTGCTCTTGACCAAAATTTGGGTAAATTTTTACCAAAAATGTGTAATATGCGTATCTTTCGACCAAAATTTAAAAAAAAATTTGATCAAAACTGTGTAATGTGGGTAGTTCTTTGACCAAAATTTGAGTAAAATTTTAGTCGAGTGTTGTCCAAATTATTTTTTTATCCATATTTAATTATTACATGACAAGTTTTTATTCAAAAACTGTTAGTAATTTGGATGTTGTCTATTTGAGAGACCACGTAAAAACATATTTAATATTTTAAGGATCAAAATGATGCAATTAAAATATTAAAAATTAAAATGAGATAAATTACATACTCTAGGGGCCTCCAATTCAATTAATCCTATTTTATATGAGCAATGAGACACGAACTAGTAAATTTTTTTGAATGTTGGTGAATTTCATGTTTGTAAATTTGAATTTTTTTTTTACGACAACAACAATTTTACATTTAAAAGTATTGAATTTTGTTATGGTATAGGAATCACACTTAGATGTCATTTCTTTGTATAATAATATCAGCTTCGAACTATAAACGTGATGTGCATTTGAATCCGCTAATGTATTTGTAAATAATTTAAAATTTTGGTTTATATCCGTTCACTTCATGCTCAATATCTTGAATTTTTGTCACAATAATATCAGGGGTTACCATTAAAAATATTGAATTTGTTATGGTATTAATCATAATTAGACATAATTGGCAAAGGATCTTATGCTGTTCAAATCTAAGCCGTGTTACTTTGTATAAATAATGGTAAATGTTGGAACTGTATTATTGTCCTCTTTCATGTAGGAGTGACAATCTAATCGTATCGTATCGGATCATTGTGGGTTCGTGTCGAATATTAATCAATTTTAACTCAACCTATTAAACTAATCGTGTGGTGTCGACTTGACCTGTTGATTTTCGTGTCTCGTTCATGTTCATATTCGTGTTGACTCATTAATTTTGAATAAAAAATTTAACGCTAAAATTCTATTTTCACAATCTATGCTCATACTTTTTTTATAAACTAAAAATTAACTTAATAATAATAATTAGTAAAAATATATTTTTTATACAATAATTATGTTATTTTTGAGTT